ATGACGTCTGTCCCTACCCTACGAATGTTCATACGTATCAGATTCAGCTTCTTAGCTCTCAGATTACTTTACCAGTGAAGCTTCATGAGATCAAGTGCCACGGAACTCAACACAACACACAAGCACCTAAACGAGCAAGTCTCCTGTTGCGCCATTCGACCAAGAAGAGCAGAGGCCAAAATAAATCTAGGAAGTATATCCAGGAACAACCCAGTCAGTATAATGTCGGTATGTCCACTAGGCTTCTTCATAACAGAGCGTACGTCCCCAATGAACGCCAGCAAGCGTTCGTTTTCGCAACGGGTTCCGGTCAGAAACAAACACAATTGGTAACAAGTTCGCCCGCCAAAAAAAGATAACGAGAAGAAGCACATGATGCTTGCAGAACGTTCCACCGTCTGACAGGACTCGCAATTCTGCTCTGTGCCTCTCCCCGCTGTTCTTCTTATCATCCAATACCGAACCTTGGTACTTGTTTATGAAAGCTGGTGAAAACTGTACTCTCTACCGGTGTTAACAATTTATTGCAATCCAAGAAAATCTATTTGAGTAATGTCCAAGAAGCTGCCAGCATGGAGAATCCTGCTCATCACTTAGGCATACAAAGCAGTATAATTCATTCTAGAGGCACATGTGCGGAATGTGAAAACGATTGACAATTTCTGGGAATTCCAAAGGACCGATAATGTGCACAAATGCATTCCCGCATGTTGTCCGTTGATCAATTAATTGCGAAAAATTCAAAATCTGAAAATACAAGCCGTTACATTACATTAGTTCTCAGGGATAAATGCACTGAATTAGACGATTCTCATTACAACGCTACCCCACGCCCGTCCCATCTAACAAGATGACAGAACGTGAAATGGCTGGATGAAGAGTGTGACGCTCTGAGAGGAAGGGCTTCATTCGGTCATGAAATTCTGAGATTTTTTGTTTGTTTTCGTTTAGCTATGCGGAATCATTTCCACGGCCTGGTGAAAGCGTGCGAGGAGATTCATTCCAAATGGGAAACGGTGGAAAAGGAGCAAATCAAGCGGTTGCGGCCTCCAAGCTCGGTGCTGATGTGCAGCTTATAGGAAGGGTGAGTACACTGAACACAGGCGGAAGTCGTAGTGTAAAGCAATGAGGTTGTAGCTCTTCCTCATTGCTTCCTCAGGATGAGCACATATGTAATGCACCTTCTGTACTTTGCATCTTCAGCCATTTCTTACTTCGACTCCCGTCTCGATTTCAAGCTTATCTGCTCGCTCTAAATCCTTATCGTAACCCTCTGATTTCAGTAGAAGTCGTTTGCTTACGACGATACTTCAATAAGTGTTTGGTCTCATGATAACTATGATGCCCAAGAAAACCCTTGATGCCATGCAGAACGCACATATTTCAATCCGAAACGTTCTTAAGCATAATGTTGAGCTCTGGTTCTTTTGAACGTTAACTAGAAAATCTGCTGGTACGGCCAGCAGAATCGTCTGTCCAAGACATTTACTCGAGGCAAAAATTTCAGATTCAGTAAACATTCTCATGACATGCACCACCTTTATGAAGGCCCTTAGCCAGCATGAGTAAGACGAATTGCTGATATAAGCGGTATTAGGCAGCGTTCAGACTTCGCGACGGCAGCGCTTCGGTCGCGCGTTCGACGCGATCGATGCGCATGCTTTCGACTGCATCGATCGCGTCGAACGCGCGACCGAAATGCTGCCGTCGCCGTATTAGAGAAGGGATGGCGCCGCGCCGACCTCCCTCCCCCTCTCGTAACACGCCGCAGCATCCGCAGTGAAGTTGCGAGCACAAGAGCAGCTGCATATCTCTAACAATTCGGAGAGGTGAGAAAAGGGGAAGGATGGGAGGTGCACCAACTAGTTCTTCTGCCGTCTGCGTTGTCTTATCCCTACGCTGCCTGCGTCTGTGCCAGTATAGGCAACAGTGCGCCGAAGGCATTTCTTACATGGCATGAATTGCCCATAATGCTGCACGCTTTTCATGCGCCTTGTAGGCCTCTGCTGGTAGCGCCTGCTGTTGCCCTTCTTATTCATAAGCACCATCATACCCAGGTCCAGAAGACCCCAACCGTTCACTTCCACTGCGACGGACATGGGCAGCACAGCGTCCGAAAGGTACCATTAAGGGAAAGTGTTGA